GGAAGCTGTTGCACCGAGGGTTTACTTCCGCGCAAGCCTTGCACACATTTGAGCTTCGCTTTGTACCGTTTTCCAGGAAAATGTCTAAAGCAGCAAGAACTGCTGCCTGGGGAAATCTGGGAGTCGTAATCCAAAAACAGGAAACCAGCGATACCTGGATTTCTTTTTTTCAGGAGCTTTAAACACTGGCCCACATTTTGGGGGAGGCAGGAGTGGCTTGTTTGATGGGGAAACTATTTTGGAGGTTCAGACACGACACGGCTCAGGCCTCTGGAACAAGGCCGTAAGAACAGCAATCCGGAATCCCCAAGGCATGGCCAAGCAGGCATAAAAACAAGGGTGGCAAAGCTGGAAAGCGTGAACTGTAAAGATGGCATGCCGAGGTGACTGTTCTGTGTTATTCATTAAGGAGCCTGGACGTTTTTGCAAAGCTTTTTCGCGGCTTCATTAAACTGGGCCTGATGAGCAAGAGCAAAACGGGACGGCAGGGGGGGGGGAACAGCTACAGCCACGAAAAAGTGCCAAGTGAGACCCAGAGCAGCTGTTGCTGGCAGGACATGCTAGGATCATTATCATCATCCCTAACGGGAAAACCTACCTTGGCATTCCTAGGTTGGAACCTCACCCATTCTATTCACGGGACCTGGACTTCCATTCTGATCTCACAAAAAAGAGGAACTCAGTGTACCAAACACACACACACATACAAACAAGCATCATTTCACCAGCCAAACAGAAACCTATCCATCCCAAGTATCAGAATTTCACAAGTTTAAAATCATCAAGAGCAGCCCTGATGGATCAGACCAAGGCAGGTCAGCTTTGGCCAGGTTTAAATCCGACATTAAGAGGTCTTAATTCTGGGTAAATTTGAAGTAGAGGTGTTCACCTTGCCAGTCCGTGGCCAAGAAAAAAAAAAATCTAAAACCGCACACAGCTGGATTGACCCATATTAATAAACCAGTCTGGGCAATTTTCCTCTGCAGCAGGAGCAAGTGGGCTTTGAAAGCTAAGATCCCTCCCAGCCACACCCACTACTAGAGGCCTCATGCGAGGTTGTTAAAACTCCAAACGTCTTCCCTGTACATCCCTTTTCTTCCTCACCCTGAACTTTCTTCACTTCACCCGTTTAATCTAGGGTGGGAAGGGAAGTGGCTTTTTCTCTCCTGCTCATTTTACAACAGACAAGAGGACTCAGAAAATCTTGCCCATTTAATACACATCACCCTGAGAGCAACTCCTAGTTACCAGCCGACCGACTGTCTTAACCAGCTCTTGCATAATCAAAGAGACTCGGTCTTTTTTTTTTTTCCACCAGCTTCAGCAAAAGGTGGTGATCCTTCCTTGGGCCCAACACCACCAAGGAGCCAAAATACGGGCCAAAGAACTCTAAAAACTGAGAACCGATGAGGACACACGCTTTTTCTGCACTTAGAATCTCTGAATTCTAGATGGAAGATTCCATCACGGGCACTTAAAAAAAAAAAAGAGGGAGAAAAAGAACTTGACAAAATTACCGGGTTGATTTCTTTTCAACCTGCACAGCTGGCCCATCCATCTGGAGCAACAAAACTGTAGCTCATCAACATTTAAATTTAATATTTTTTAAAGCATTCAAGGGAAGACTTGTAGCTACAAGAATGCTCCTCACGAGGAGGAACATGGGTTGCTCTCAGGGGCAGCAAAGGAAGTAAGCCCTAAGGGAGACCCAGTGGAAAGTCCCCCTTTTCAAACACATCTGGACTTCCCAAGAACATCGCCGCGGCTCTCTTTTCATGCATTTGGCTTTCACACACTCCTGGGATTTTTCCCCCCAGTCTCCAAAAGGCCATACAGCATCTCATGGGCCATCTACACATATGAAAGTGACATTTCTGACCTGCCTTAGGTGAATGTCACTCTCTTCCCCCAACTTCCCATGGAAAGACAAAGCTCTTTGGCCCCGCCAGCCACATCCAACGTGCGTGCACACAATCGCTCCCCCCCCATCCCAGCTATCTTATTGGGGCAGGATGTTCACAGACAACAAGGGAGAGCATCCGGAAGGGCTTTGGCAACCCTCTCGGTGGCCTGGGACACTCCGCTGTGGGGGCTGGAGACCCTTTCTTGCAAATCAGGAAAGAGTTTCCAGGACAAACCCAAAGCTCTCCCACAAACCCCACTGCGTTCACTCCCGGGGGGGGGAGCAAAGATGATCCTGATTCTCCCAGGAAAAGAGGCAAACCACACCCTCCCTGATCACGTACTACGACGTTCATGGGTGTCTAGTGTTCGCTAAGCTTTAATCCAGTTTAGCCTCCGACCACACACTGCCACGCAGGCCTGGCTCTCGCTCCCTTCTCCTCAAAGCCCCCGGTTTCCCCTTCCAGGCGGTCTTCTGAGTATGGTCTTCCAAGGTCCTTCTGCCTCTTTGCCTCACTACCAACAAGCCCCGTTTTCATGCAGCGTTTTGCACCGCTCCACAGTGCACAAAAGAGTCCAGAGAGGCTCTGAGGTTCCCACAGCCTCTCCCTCTCTCTCAAAAAAAAAGCCCTCGCCTATGGAGGGGTGTTTAGGGAGGTCACTCACTCCTCTCCACATTTTAGTCCGAACTTTAAAGAAGCTATCCAAGGTGCTTAATCGAGAACCCTTTAGCGGAGTCACCACCTCCACCGGCATCCCAGTCGCCATCTGCCACTGCTATCCTGTCTCCAAAAATGCAGTAGCTGGGGCTGATGGGAGCTGTAGTCCAGTGATACCAGAAACAGGCTGCTTTCGGCTTCCCACCGGCTGCCAATCATCATCATCATCTGTTATCGAGTCCATTCTGACTTATCCTTTCCAGGTTTTCTTAGGCAGAAAATGCACATAAGCGATTTACCCTTCCCTTCTTCTGGGGGCACCTCAGGAACGTGCAGCTTGCCCAAGGCTACCCAGGCTGGCTCTACTCACAGGGAGGCCCCATGGGGGGGAGAGGAGGGGAATCAAACTCCCAACCATTGGCTCCACAGCAAGACACCTAATAAGCAGAGCTAACCAGCCAAGACATACAAACCCAATTTACAAATGAAAGAGGAAGACTGTCATAGGAGACCACTGCTAATTTTGGCAACCTCTGAGTCACTGGTAACGAAACCACCAACACAGAGCGCTTGGCTTCCAAGCGTCAAGGGCAAAAGTAATTAAAACTGCCAGTTCTTTCCAGTATAAACAGGACTTGCTGTATTCAACATGCTCTCACCGAGGGGGGTTCAGACACACAGGCTTTATATATGGATTGTTTTCTTGGGCCTAGCTTCCTGGAAAGAACTGTTTTTTTCTCGGGAAAGCCTGAAAGAATTTGGAAGAAGAAAAGCACATCCAGGCTGGGTCGGTCCAGGCTGCTGACTTGGGATGGCTCCATCTCAGGATTCTGGAGAAACACAGGCTGGGATGCTGGAGAGCATCCTCATAACATCAACGTCTTGCTGCTTCTTGGTTTGGTATTTAAATTATATTTCTGGTCCCGATGGCTGCAAAGGCCAGGTGTGGAAACGTAGGGGTCATGAGGGAGCTTTCACTGGGTCGGGAATTCAACAGCCCGCACAGCTGAGGACCAGCTGAGGACACGAGGCCAAATGAACAAAGCCACACACACACGTGATTAATTTGCCCCATTTCTACAGAGCTACACAGGTTTCACCATTCCTGTTTTTCACATGATAAATCTAACCATATGTTCTTTGCAAAGTTTCCAAAATATCTGAAAAGGAGGGAAACCGAAACGACAACCCACCCTCCAGATGGTCCTTGATTGTCACAAAACAGGCACCCCACAAAAATGGCTCCTGGTGACAGCAACGTGTACCAGGCACCCCCCATTTGCCCAAAGAACTGCATGGGAGTTCCCCCACCTGACACAGCGGATTCTTCCCTCATCTTCCTCCCGCTTTGTTAGGCATCCTGACCTCTGATCTGGCCATGCTGAGGGCGTACCTTAGTCACACCCTACTGCGCTCACTTATAATATACTCTAATTTATGGAAAGGTTTCAGAAAGTTCCACCTCCGAAGAGATCAAGGGTTAGGCAGTTGACCAACAGGGGTGACATGGGGCACACAACCCCACAAGGGGCTAATTAAGCCTCACCAAAACCTGTACTTGAAGCTCCTTCTAGGACCTTAAACAGCCTGGCTATTTCTGCAGGCTTTTCAATCTGAGCCATCTATGGCGCCCACTTAAACAGCGGTTAACAGCCTCTAATGACACTTGATCGCCACCAATTCTAATGCATCAGCTATCTTAGAATGTATTTTAAACTGCTGGATCACTGTTATAATGTTTTCCTTTTCATAGCTGAGTTATTGTTATGACTTTATGTTTTGTTGGTTTATTGCTCTGTGTGTGTGTGTGTGTGTGTCATCATTCCTGAGCCACTATCTATCTATCTATCTATCTATCTATCTATCTATCTATCTATCTATCTATCTATCTATCTATCTATCTATCTATCCATCCGTCCGTCCGTCCGTCCGTCCGTCCGTCATAAGTGTCTGCCCAGACTCTGAATCCTGACATCTTCAGAGGCACATTCTGGGTCTTCTTGATGCCAGGCATTAGAGCATCCTTGATATAGCTAGACGGGGTCCCCTTTTGCCAGCAAGCAAGCAGTAATTTTTGTTTATGCTGGGAAACTTTTAGCAAATGACTGGCTCTTGAAGAAAGACCATACAGATGCTGTGCTTTAAAGAAACAAACCATTAAAACTGCTTTTCATTCCATAGTGTTTGTATTACTGATTTAATGACACGACAGCCTTTCAGATGTCTTTATCTGTGTTTGTTTTCATCTATTTTTATCTGTATCTGTTCTAATTTTGTTGGGAGCCACCTCGGGAAGAGAGGTAGGATGTAAATCAATGAAGCCAAGTAAGAACAAATGGATGTGTAAAATCTGATGAGGGCTTTTGCCTATTAGGAGGGCCCTCTGAGGACAGGTAGTCCCATCAGCAGGCGAACAGGAGCTAGTGGCTTGATTCTTACCTTCACTAAGAAGTTTCCATCTTTCTCCTGGCTGACCATGACCACCGAATCATGAAGCTTTTCGTCAAAGTGGACGTGGCTGGAAGACCCTTCCACCGCTTGGGTTGGGGCAAAGCGGACACCCCCCACTTTGGGCTTGGTGCCTACAGAAGGAGAAGCAAGGAGAAGCACGGATGAGCAGCCACTGGCAAAAGTCACATCACAAAAGAGCCTCGAAACGGAGACCAAGGGCTCAGAGCCAGGAGCCAAAGGTTCCAAGCAGACCATTCGGAACAGGTTAGTCAATGCCGGATGGGATTTGCAATCCATAAGATCCAGGAAATGTTTTGACCCCTTAGAAACAACCAGGATTTATTCTCATGGTGGCACTGCTGAAAAGCTTATGACATACAAAACCTCTTAGGAAGTAAGGTGCTCCAGCACAGCAGCTGAAATTCAGTAGTAAGTGGCATCTAGAGTAGGCCCACTGAATGCATGGAACTTAACAGATGAGTTGACTCAGCATGTCCCCACTCGTCCAATGGGCCCACTCTAGTTGCCACTTACTACTGGATTTCCGGGCCCAAAACAAATGGCCAGTCCCAAAGAGAGGAGACCCACTGAGTCGACTGCTGAACGCCTTTGCCAACTCCATGGATCCCAACGGGGTCACGCGGGTTGAGACTGCTGCTCAGAGTCAAGATTTTGTTGGTTCTCCTATAAATAAGAGGTGGGCCCCAGGTAGCCTCAGGAGCCCATAGGTGGCCTTCCTGAACCCCAGGGACGACAGAAAATCCAAATACCTGCCCCAAACCCGATGACCTAAGAAAGGTAAATAATCAGAACGGAAGCTTTCCTTTAAAGCGATATGTTTCTTAGTGCAGAGTGTGGAACTACCGAAGGGGAAATAAGGGGGGGGGGGAGAGAAATGTTTATGGTATTCTAGGAAATCCATTTACAGGCAAACACCTGAACCCGTCTGATTTGGGATGCTAAGCAGGGCAGGAACCGGCAAGGACTTGAAAGGGAGACCAGCAGCGACTCCAAAGCATCTCCCTCCAGAGATAAGAAAGAAACCTTGGGGGAGCCCATGACTCCCTCCCAGTTACATCCTGGTCTTGCTTCATGTTCTGGGCAGCCTTGGCCGGAAAACCTGATGTGGCCTTGCTTGCAGCAGGAGCTAACCAATGGGGGATTTGAAAAAGGAGAAAGACGACTCCTTTACTCTTATCACTTGTTTCAAGGCCCCCATCTCTTGGCTGCGAGGGACCAAGCAGCCAGAACAAAAGGCGGCAAGGGAGCTTAAGACCCAAAAGCCTTTCATCACCATAGCTTTCGTCAGGCGCCAGCTGCAGCTCCAGGGGACGAGGAGGCCAAGAGAGCGGCTGGCACGCGGCGATAAGGCTGGTGCCCAGGAGAACGATGGAAGGGGAAGAAAAGATCAAAAACCCCAGAGCCCCCCGCCCTATCCTGCTGGGGAGGCAAAGGCGGGGGAGATGGAATCGCGCCTCCCAGACACCAAATCTTGGCACCGATAGGAAAAGTTTTGAATTGCAGTAGGAAATTTTTAAGGGGAGGCAAGGCAGCCTTCCCCAAACAGGCAGCTTCCAGAGGCGTAACACTCCAACTCCCATCAGCCTGCAGCAAGCATGTAGATTATGGAAAGGAGGATTGTGGGAACTGTAGTCCCACCTATTGGAGGCACCAAGGCAGGGAAGAAAGGCCGCTGGGTCAGCTGCACTGACATGCCTGTGAGTTTCAAAACATCTTCGTTAAAAGTTTAGACACCGTCTAATGGAGCTCGTGTTTTAGTGTTAACACCTTAAATTGAACACGTTACAGTATTTCCAAACTCTGACCGAGAGTTTGCATGGATCTTTCCTCTTCCGCCTGCAAGGAAGCCACCGGTTGCTTGGGCGGGTGTGTGTGTGTGAAATGCAGGTTTCCTGGGGCTATTATTAGCCAAACAGAGCCCGGCCAAGCAATCCACCCAGGGTGCATGCTTTTGCCTTGCCTTTGCTTAGTGTCAACAACACCGTCACGCTCAAGAGCAAGAGAGAGCTTGGCGTGAAATCTGGCTCCAGGTGCAAGCCAGCCTTTCAGGCTTGACTGCCCGCCTGACACCTGGCTGCAAAATCCCGAAGAGTTGACAGTCTGCTCTTCCTGAAAACACCCCACGGTGAGCGTGATGCTTTCAGGGACTGACACGAAGCAGCAGAAAACGGCAGATCAATCGGCCTATTTGGGGGCCCCACCCCACTCCAGGGAGGGCCAGACTCTGTTCTGTTGGATTCACTGCGCTCACCTGGAGACGCATCGTGTCAGCCCCGAAGGCTTCCCAACTGCTTTTCTGAGAGGCAGAAGGGGGCCCCTTTGTAGCTTGGTGGCCCAGGAGAAAACCCTGTACACAGAAGGCTGTATTCTTTCGTCCCTGGCACCTCCCATTTAAAAAAATCATCTTGGGCCACAAGAAGCTCTTTGGAGGGCTGCTGCCAAACAGAGCAGGCAGTACTGGCTCAATTTAAAGTGTTAACACTAAAAAAGCTCCATTAGACTGTGTCTAAACTTTTAACAATGGTGTTTCGAACCCACAGCCTGGCTTCCTCTAAAGCAGCCTGGGTCTTCCCACCATGCAAGCCAGAAACGCTGAGACCTTGGTTCAAATCTCTCTCTCAGACCTCCCCGTTGGGCTGGACAACAACTCCCGCCATCCCTGTGCCGGCTGGGAAGCATGGCAGTTGTAGTCCAACACAACCAGGGGATGCCAAATGTGGGCTGGGTCCTTTAGCCTCCCCCGCGTTCGAAACACGAATACAGGCCTGAGTCCTCCCAGCAGGTGGGGTTCAAAATCTCCCGTCTTGCAGGCAGCCAGAGGGAACCACCGCGGCCCTCTCAGGAATCGCTGGACTACCTCTCCCACCAGCGCCAGCTGGCGCGGCCCCTGGAAGTCACAGACAGGCAATATCCAGGAGGGCTGCTCTCTCCTCCCCCCTTCTCCAGTTATGGGGTAAATCTAATGTAGTTCGTTCCCTCCACATCAGATCCACTGAACGAATGGAACTTGGTACATTCGCACATGGCACGGGTCCCATGGATTCGAGAGGGTCCCTCGAGGGAGGGGTTGACTGCAGGGAGCCCTGACAGTGCAGACGGGCTGAATTTTCTCGTTGTGAGAGAGACAGCCTCGGAAGGAAGGGAAGCTCCTTTCAGGAGCCTGTCGCTCCTCTGCGGCTGCTGCAGCTGCTGCCAACCCCCCCCAC